AACATAACAGCTGCGATGCTGTTAGTGTCACGCAAAAGCTTAGAAATTGAAGCGTACTGTATCACAAAACGAAGAGCCTTTTCGAAGTGAAAATCTGTGTAAATTTCATTTTTTAACTGCTCTAGTATTTCATGAAAGTAAAAACTTAAAATAAGTCACTTTTTTAACCAACATGAAAGCTGCGATGCTGTGTCACGCGAGGCTCGCTTCGCTTGTCCAAATAGGAGAGCTTGTCAAACAATGATCATTTGTTTCGTTTTCGAACGCTGACGTCATGCTAACTTATTAGCGATGTATGGTTACGAATTTTTGTTGTTTGTAATTTTAGTTATTTGGAAATGGCGGTTGATATACTATTTATTGTATAAGACTCCAAATAAAAAACATATATGTATGTATGTATGTATGCTATGCTATGCTTTGCCATATTGATCCCTACTTCAAGCATAAGCTATGCCCCATTACTATGCTTCCAAAACACTCGCTCTCTGGCCATTCCGGTGGACATGTACGCAACTCTGTGACAACAATTTGCTTTCCATTCCTTATAATTTATAGTTTTCAAAACCTTACCATAATCCGAAATTTATCACATAAATTTTAAGACCAGTGATGAATTGTTTCATTTTCGAACGCTGATGTCATACCATATATTTCCTTACTTGAAGTAAAGCTAGGCCACACCCCTCAACTGAGCTTCCATGAACTAGCATACACAACTGCAGTGGACACATCAAGATTCCTGTGAGTACAGATTTGTTTTCTTTTCCTTGTCATTTATAGATACTTGAGCATAACTTACTTTGTAGCTATGCTATGTGGTTAACCTTTGTATTGCGCAAGTGGTCTGCAAAAATCAATAACCAACTGAAGATTAAATGAATGAAGGGTACAACAATGATTTTTGCAATTGTTCTATACAATTTTAAACTGTTTTATATAAATTGCGTAATTTCTACAAAAGTTTCAGTCATTATATAATGTCGAAAATCATGAGAATTGCATTCAGTTTCAACAGAGTTATGGTGAATGTCCTCCTGATTATGATCAATATTTTATTTCACAGAAACTGAAATATCGAATAAAAACGCCGAGCAGGTACAATATCGGGTCAATCGCCTCCTTCAAGCGTTAAGTCTCTTTCAGGTTTGTTTACAATTTCAAATTTTTTACATCCTAAGGCATTTAAAATTCAAACTCTCAGAGAAGAATCAGACTTCAGTAGAGTTTTACCCTGACGTGCTAAAACAACTCGACCCTGACCAGGACAACAACAACAACTTTATTTGTTCCCAACAGTATATAGAAATGTGGCCGAGGAGTACAGGCTGCCCCAAATAACTATGGAAGCTAAAGAAAAATGTCAGCCATACTTAGGTGATTTATCTATAATTATTTGGGTCAGATACCACACACACACACACCCAAACATAACACCCAAACACAAAACACACGCGCGCGCATGCGCACTGAGGCACCAAAACAAACAAAATAAAGGATGTCAAAGTAGAAAAACAACGGAAAGCAGAAGAATTATGGTGTTAAAATACTTTACAATTTTCAGTAGTTTTCAAGAAGAATTAGCTTGAGGTTTTTCTTAAAGCGTAACTCGGAGAGGAAGAAGCTTTACATAAATAATGCAAGTTGAAGGGTGATAATGTCAAACAACTTGACAACATTTAGATCTTTAAATAAAGGACTTGAATGTTCATAAAGTGAAAGTAATTATTCTTAATATAAATTATTCTTAATAAGGCAAAAAAAAAACTTGAGGTAAAAATTTAAAATAAATCAGTAGGATACAGTTTTTGTACAATTATAAAAAACACCAAACCTGGTTACCACCAAGGTCCGGAAGGCATTAAATAGAGATTACTTCATGGAAAGCGCGTGCGTACGGGATTTTCCCACAAGTTGGTGAAGTATCTGAAATCGAACGAGTGAGCGCAGCGAACGAGTGAGATTTCTGATACAAAACCAACGAGTGTGAAAATCCCGTACAAAGCGCTTTCCATGCTGTAATTTTTTTATTTTATACATACTGATATTTTTTTATTTATCCAGCTTTAATTGGTTCTCTAAAATAATTACAAAACTCCTGTATTAAATTCTCTTCGAAAAATTAAGTTTTTACTAAAATCGACGTGTGAAAATATCACCAATCATAACTGGTGCAAAGGATAGCAAACATTTCAATTCTTAATTAAATAAGGAAATAACGAAAGAAACAAAGCCAAGTCAAGTTTGTCACTGCGTAGGGCTGTCTTCGTCTGACGATTCAAACACGCGCTTGATGCGTTTGAAGCTTCGTGTAATCCAAGAACTATAAGTAATCTTAACTGTTTGTTCTCAGTGCACAATTGGAAATGAGTGAATTTAAGTAAAATAGCCAGTTTCAATTATAAGCTTAACCTTAAATGGTTAAATGAAAGGCAAAGTAGCTCTACCAAAAAGCACAACAAAAGCTTACGTCTCGTTCTGTTTATCCCTTTCCGCTGTT